GAACTCTTAGCATCAGAAGCTTGATCAGATGAGTTGTCAAATGCCCCAACTTTCTTTGAATTTAGTGGTGCCCTGGGAGAGAATTTAACACCTCAAAGAATTAGGCCTTAAGGGAGTCAGAGTAAATATTCAATGCACTGTGGAGATTAGACTGCATGGAGCCTGTCTTTCTGGAGAAGTCTATAGCCCTTGCACATCCATTGCAAGAGGATTTCATTTTCTAAAGCATGGGAGGAAAGATGGAATTTGCATTAGGCATGTAAACTTGTGTTGGTAAGAGCCTGTAAATTGAGATCTCAAAAACTTTCTACATGGTATACAAACAGATCAGTCCCCCCTTTCTTTAGTTAAGTGTACGTGGCATTGTTACAGTCATTTATTCCCTGAGGGCCTAATCCTACTCCTCTCTCACAATGAATACAGAAGGGCCTAAATGCAAAAAGATTCTTTATAATACTGTGCCTAGGACAGATGGAAAAAGGTACTCCATAGCTCCTGGTTTGAGGCATTTTTCCCCATTGTACAAGCAAGGGGAGTTGTCAGCCTGTAGAATAGATGGATGTAGCCAGTGGGTTCCCAACTACCTGAATTAATGGTTACTACCAGCCCACAGTACAGGCATAGGTCAGTAGCTGGTGTATGACTGCCCCAAGTTGTGGGAAGTGAAGATTTTGTCCTGCCCAGATCCCAAAGAGCTTTCACAAGGCCCAAATAACTCGCCTGCAATTCCTTGCCTAGAGTCACACTGGAATACCTTCATCTTATGGTCAGATAAGGTTCTTTGGGTAAATCTGATATATTTTATTAGATCAACTCAAATAATTAGAAACATTCTTCTTACGGTAGCACCCAGAAGCTGCTTTCTTGACTCTTCCAGGTGGTATAAAAAAAAAAGAGAAAATACGGTCTCTGCTACACAAAACTTTTAATCTGGAGCATACAAAGATATACAAAGGATGTGATAGTGGGATACAATAAAAATAAGAACAGGGAGGGCTTGGTTTTTTGTTTTGTTTTTTAAGAACAATGGATGTGCACATGTGGAGAAAATATACAAGATGCATCACTCTTATCCAATTATCTTGTCAGTCGTCAGCCTATTTTGCACAGCGAGTAAGGTCCAAGATCCAGATCCTCAGCTAGTGTATATTGGTGAGGCTCCATAGACTACAGTAGGGTTATATAGATTTACATGGGCTGAGGGTTTGGCCCCTTAAGTCCTATTTTTCACTGTCTGGTATCACCATCACTAAACTCCACATCATGAAAACACCCCATGCTTTTCTATGAAACCACCCTAGAGTACCCTCTAACCTGACATTAGTCATTGAGAAATGCATAGGCTTCATGGGAGCGATAACCCCAAAGTGTTTTGTTATCCTAATCTACCAAAACAGGACAATAAATACGTATCTGAAAGGTAGGAGAAATTTATTAAAAGGGTGTCACTGGTGATTGCTCTTCCCCCTTTGGCTCATTAACTGAACTGATGATTCTTGCCAGCACTCCAAGACAGACACTGTTTCTCTAAAGGAGATCCGTATGTCAAAAAGCATTTGTGGGTAGAACCAGACCCTACAATGAAGTTATAAATTAAGCTTTTATGAAGGCACAAAAAGCATCCTGATGTCCTTTTTATAGCTTCATATAAGGGTAATGGCGATAAATTATTTGACATGCTGCAAGGGCATTTTACCCTTGTGCCAACCCTGATTGCTTTTTACTTTGCCGCATCTCATTGGGGTTGATTTTATACCAAAATGTTTCTTTACACATTTATAAACTCAGATTATGGTATGATTTGCTTAGTTTCCCAAATAAATTCTTTAAAATTAAAGCCAAACATCTCCTCTCAAACACAGATATCTCACCGATATTTTCTTCTCTTGTCCTTCCTTACCAGCATCACACCTAATTTTAGTGACGTTGCTGAAATGCAGCTTTAACAGGTGAATAATTAACCGTATATTATGATAACACAAATGAATATCAAATTGGAGGCATAATTGCAGGAACCAAAGCTATGAATTCTTTTGAGTTATGTACTGGCCATAACTAAAGCGTCACGGATGAAATAACACTCAGCACCACTGTGCATAGAAGATCAACTCTCAGTATTTCAGAGCTCAAGGAGAGCAAAACACACACGCACGTATATATATTTGTATAGTGGGCATAAAAATGACAGCAAGAACTGTATTCTCTAAATGTCTCCATTCCATCCATCATTTCTATTCAGGGCAAGTAGGAGGCAGGGAAGGGGCAATCTCTCTTTGATATGTCTGGGGATCTGGGAAAATCAAACAACAAGGAGCACCTCCCTGCTTCAAGTTTTAGGAAACTGCTGTTTTAATGAGCAGGCTAGAGCCAAGCCGCTGGGATGAGATAAGGGAAAAAGAAAGTGTGTAGCCTGTGTAGTGATAGCTAAGAGCATTATGTCCACTTTATTGCAGAAGTAGTGTCAGTAAGGGAAACTGTGCTGACTTGTGGTGATTATTACTGTATCTATATAACAGGTGCAGGTTGCAGAGAATATGTCAGGGAGGAGTCACAAGCATTCCTGTCATCTGAGGTTTCCATGGATGTACCAACCTGTCTCCCATCCTTGCTTTTTTAAGTGCCAGCAGACAAATAATATCTGCTTCCTCCTTAAACCACGGAGAAAAGGGCTGCTTGTGCCCTTTTGCCTTCCAAGTTGATCTTACAAAGAGGCCATAATCTGTTCCTGTGGTTTTTAGATACACTCTGAGCCATTTCCTAGCATCTGTTTTTCTAAGCTTCATAATAAAAAGGTTAAGGATGCTACTTCCCTACTACTGGAATCAGAAAGTAGGATTCTGTGCGATAAGTAGGCACCATAAATACCTGTGCAGTCAGTAGGAGCTGAGTCACTCTGTATCTTTAATGGGCACTCAGCACCTTTCAGGACTGTGCTCCAAAAAATTAGCGGCAGAAAATACCTATTACTGGTAGGTCATCTTGTCCAGGTGTGTGTGCTAGTTCAAGATTTATCCTACAGTAGAGTCTCATATGCTTCATTGAATCTAGTAGCAAAATGAGTCAGACATTGAAGCTTCTGCCTCTTCTTCTGGGAGACAATTCCTCAGGCAAATAGAGTTCATAGTAAGAAAATGCTATCTGATCTCTAAGCTAATGCTCCTTTTCTCAGCTTTAATCTCTTGCTCTTACGTATGCCACCTCTGACCACCCAATACGATATCAGGAGCTTATTTCAAACCGATCTCCAAGCCAAGAAACTTTTTGTATGGCTTGCTCACTTTCTTGGAAAAGATGTTTTGCTCTTGCAGACAGGAGCTCTAAATCAATCCATGTCAAGGGCAGGTTTGAAATGGCCTGGCACCTGGTTGCCTGATTTTTGGTGGCTTCCCTGTGCTACTTTGGGTCCTGTAGAATGACCTTAAAGGGAAATGAAGTTGTTCTTAATGGCCAAAAATCTTTCCCTGCTGCCCACTCTGATTAATTCAGCAGGGCACTGGGGAACCGTGTGGGTGGCAGCAGAAGAAACCTAAACTGACTAATTTCCTCCTACTGCACAGATAAAACTTTAGTTTTCCCCTTCTCTCTCCTGTTCTTCACCTGTAGCAAGGTGGAAGGTTTTTAACAGAGTGCTTTGTGGATGTAGTGGATTACAGGGGTTGGAGTAGATGTTCTTCTGGGCCCTCTTGGAAAATTGGTTGCCTACAAATGCTAGGGACTAGGTTTGATAGCTCA